TCACTTCCTCTGAGTCCTGCGATCAACTTCCGGAACATGATCAAATAATGGCGGACGCGAAATCGTGAATTTAACGGCCCGAAAAAGGATATTTCTGGTGCTCGGTCTAAACTGAAATTTGGCAGAGTAGGTGAAGGAGACACAATGAACACAAAAATGGAAAAAAAAATGATGTACGAAATTTTGATCTCAGGGGCACTTTAATAAGTTGCTGTAAAGTTGCTAACCTTTTTAAGTTACATTTATTATTGCTCGTGGTTTGTTTGTGTTTTTTTGTTGTTGCTCTTTTTGTGAAAATAAAAAAGAGGAAAACAAAACAACTTGAAGAGATTAAAAGAAGTTAGAAAGGGACAATGTCATAAAAGCTCTAGAAATTTCCGTTTGTTTAGTCGAGCAAGGGATACTTCAGGCCCTTCTTGTTTTCTACAGATCGATTTAAGTATTTAAGGAACCCATGTAGCGCAAAGGCACGTTCTTTCATTGTGTAGAGCCAAATTTAATATCTAGCTATAAGGAAGTAAAAGTCACTTTGGCATTTAGCTCCAGAGGGATCAGTTATAAATCCTAATACAATCTTATTCTCAAGGAGATAGTTTTATGGGATATTTTGGTTGTGCTTTAACCTTTAAGTTAACTTTTACAACTGCAAATAACGACACATTTGAAACTAAATTTATAAGACATGTTTCGGTCGTTCAACGACCACTTCAGTTGAGAGTAGAACTGATTTGAAGTTACATTATAATGTAGTGCTAAACAAAAGCTATTGAAACTGACAGAATACCCAAAGGTGACAAAAGAGTGTATAATATGACGTGTTAATTAGAACGAAAGAGTTAAATTAACGTGGTATAGTTGCTTGTTTAAAGAAGGTTGCTCCCAGGAAATATGTAGCGCTTCTTTTATCTTAACCTGGAATCTTGTGGTCGCATGATCTATAACTTTAAAACATTTAGCAGAGCAGGAATTGTGGCATGCTTGGGATTGTTGAAGATGTTGAAAGATATGTGAGGTCCTGTCCCTGTCAAAGTGTTCGCGAATGCGTGTCGAAAGGTGTCGGCTAGTTTCGCCGACATACCAAGAATTAGAGCTTGCACAGGTAAACTTGTAAACAACATTCTAACGAAGTTCGACAGGCACAGGGTTCTTCACACCAAACATGTTGCGGATCTTGAAGGAAGAAAAGGCTAGCTTAACATCGAGATTGTTACAATAACGTTTAAGTAATTTATGTAATCTGTTTTGTGCTACAATAGAGAAGGGGCAACTATATCACATTAATTTAACTCTTTCGATCTAATTAACACGTCATATTATCTTTTGTTACCTTTGGGTATTCTGTCAGTTTCAATAGCTTTTGTTTAGATG